GCGTGTGGCGTGTGTGTGTGTGTGTGTGTTGTGGTTTTGTGTGTACTCTGTGGATGTGACTTGGTTCTCAATGCACGGCAACCTTGTCCACCTCTGCATTTACGTGTTTTCCTTCGCATTCTCTTGCTCACACTCGCTCACACACACACACACACACACACACACACACACACACACACACACACACACACACACACACACACACACGCTGACACCCAAATACACACATCTCACACTGGTAGCGAGCGCCTGCGCCGGATCCGCCAGGATGAGGAGCTGCAACGCAAGATCCAGACAACGAAGGATGCCATGGAACAGAGCAAGCAGCGCGTCGACAAGATGTGCGTTGTGCTGTTTACGACGGCACCAGCCATGCCCTTGTTCATTGCAGTAGTGTACAGGCGCACACCGTTCTGCTGCCCTGCTCATGTTGGGTGTCTCTGATACTGCCTACCATTCACTCCTAATTCGGATGTATTCGCTGGCTCGTCACCGCTGACCACCGCGCTCCCACACTTTCATTTCCATGAACGTGCACACAATGTGTGTGTGTGTGTGTGTGTGTGTGTGTGTGTGTGTGTGTGTGTGTGTGTGTGGCGGTAGTCTGAAGAAGCACGGGTCTGAGCTGGAGGATGCTGCTGGCGATCAGCTCTCACCAGACCGCTACCACGCCGCAGTTGTCGGCGCCCTGCAGTACGTACAGAAATGTGTGCATGTGCATGTGAACACGGGTATGTGTGTGTGTGTGTGTGCGGGAGCACATGTGTTAGGCTTGGGTGTTTGCTGCAACTGACATTTTACCACCACACTCACATGCTCACATACTCTCACACGGTCACCTTTACGCCTTTACACACACTGTCACTCTTACCCACATCCCCCCCCCCACACACACACACACTCACAGATCGCAGGAGCGACACCTGGACAACGCCAACCGCAACCGCGATGCTGTTGTGCAGCACTTGGCCGACAAGAACGCGCGTCAGTCGGCCATCAAGCAGTCTCTTGAAACGTTGCAGCAGGAGCACAGCGCGTGGTCGCAGCGGCTGGCGAAGGAGTGCCCAGAAAAACCGCTGGACGACGCTCTCAAGGAAGCAGAGGCCGCCCTGCGCGATATGCGAAGGTCACACCATGGTTGCTGAATGTGTGTGTATGTGTGTTTGTCTGTGTGTGTGTGTGTTTGTCTGTGTTGTATGGGTATCAAATTACTCTCCTTGGCGTCTCTGTTTCCTCACGCGTCTCTGTTTCCTCACGCGTCTCTGTTTCCTCACGCGTCTCGTTCTTCCGCTTTGTGGCGCAGCATGCAAGACCTGCGCCCGGCCATGGCAAAGGTGTACAGGGTCATCAAGCAGAAATCTCAACAGACGCACGCCTGCTTTGTCTGTCAGCGTGATTTCGCCTCAGATCAGGAAGCAGAGGACTGCCTGCGCCTGGTACGTGCGTGGTGGACAGTCACTTTCACAACCACACCTGACATGCATCCAGGTCACATCAAACACGCGCACACATGCACACACTCACACACACACACACACTCGCTCAAACGCACTCTCACATACTCACACACTTACACACATAAACACACCCTCTCCTTTCGCCCTCTTCTTGCGTCGCATCCCTACTCCCTCCTAACCCCCATCATTGACAGATTGAGGAGAAGATGCAACGGTTCTCGTTGGAGAGCTCAGGCGATGCCGAGAGCGTGACGGTACAACAGCAAAAAGTCGACAAGTGAGTCCAGCGCTTGCTTGCGTGTGCATGCATGGGTTGGTTGCTGTGCCGCCGGACGCGTCCATTCAGGTTGCCAGTGCTGACCGCTGCTTGCCTCTTTGCTTGCCCGTGATTCAGGTTGAAGGGGCTTCAGATGGAGGCGAAGCGGTTCCAGCGGCAGGAGGAGCGCATGTCGGAGCACGAGGGCGATTTGGCCGCGCTCGACAACGAAATCGAGGAACTTGAGGCCGAGAAAGAGAAGGTATTGTGTCATGGTCGTGGTGGTGCCTGTGGTTGTTGAAAAGGTGCCTGTGGTTGTAATGGTTGTGGCGATTAGAGTGGCTGTTGCTGCTGCCCTTGGTGTGGTCACGCGATGTTGACACGATACGCGTCGCTGCTCCACTTATGCTTCTTGTGTGTGCAGACTGAGAGCCACATTGATGACACGAAGGACGCCATCCAGCGTCTGCGCGCTCTGTGCGATGTGGCAAAGGATCTTAAGGCGTCACAGCAGCGCATCAACACCTACACCAAGGAGATCAGCAGCCTCACGTCCCGCCTCACCTCGGGTGTGTGTGTGTGTGTGTATCTGGCAGTCTCCACATCGCCACACTTGTTTTGGTGCCCTGCCCCCCCACACACACACTGAACATGTGGATGCACCCATCCTTGCAAATCCCAACACACATGCGCGCGACATATGTACACAGGCGACACCATCACGTTGGATGAGGCTGAGCAGGAGCTGCAGAAGCTTCAACGAAAGCGGTGAGATAACATGTGTGTGCGCCGCTGTGTTCGGCTGCCACAACCCTTGCACACAATCCTCGGGTGCTCTTCTCTCGCTGCATTGAAATGAGATGTCACCTCATCCGCCTCTTCATGTCGTTGTCGTGACTTGGCGGCTGACATTGCAGGGAGGAGCTGTTGCAGGAGGAGAGCGACGTTGTGCGTCGTCGAGGAAAACTGCAGAGTGCATGTGTGCAAACGCAGCAGGTGGGTGTTGACGTACACGTGCATATCAAGTGCGCACATGCGTGCATGTCCACTCATATGCAATTGCGCTTCTATTCCCCTTTCCGAGTGTGTGTGTGCGTGTGTGTGCGTGTGTGTTTGCGTGTGTGTGTGCATGTGCATGTGTGTGCGTGCGTGCATGCGACGAGCTCATCCGAGTCACGTTGGCTTGCAACATGTGGCGTGCGTGTGCAGGGCGTGTCAACAAGGAAGGATGAGCTGGCGAAAGTGCATCAGGCATTGGCGCAGCAAGCGTAAGCAGCCACACCGTAAACACAAACACCCACATGCCACGTCGCACACAAAGCACTGGAGCATTCTGCAAGTTTCTCATCAGATGGTCTGCCGTTTTGCTTTGTGATCTTGTTCTGCAGGCGCCTGCGCGAGCAGATTCAAGCGCAGTCGCAAGAACTCACGGCCACACAAGACCAGCGCAAGGTGTGTGTGTGTGTGTGTGGATGTGGATGTGCTGTGTTGTGATATGGGACGAGCGAAACTTGCACCAGTGACGTGTGCGTGTATGCGTGACATGCACGTGGTATCCTCCATGTGCGTGTATGCAGGCGTTGAGGACGGACCAGCAGCAGTACGAGAAGGCGATGGAGGATGCGGACCGTGAGCGGCGGGATTTGCAGCACGAACGCGAGCAGGTGTTGGAGAAGAGCCAACGGGAGGTCAACAAAATCTCGCGCTGCATCAACCGCCTCGACGCCATTGAATCAGACATCAATAGGTGTGTGTGTGTGTGTGTGTGTGTGTGTGTGTGTGTGTGTGTGTGTGTGTGTGTGTGTGTGTGTGTGTGTGTGTGTGTGTGTGTGTGGGCGCGAACGCCTGCTTCGATCACCTGCTGCACACAACCCAGCTCAACCCAACATTTCCCATGCGCACTCCCACTCCCACTCACACACTCTCTCACACACACTCTCACACACTCTCACACACACTCTCACACTCTCTCGCCCTCACACAAACGCTGCGCGGCCAGGTATGTTGCCTCTGGGCAGCGGCAGCGGCTTGCCAAGTGCAAGGAGGAGTTGGAGGAGCGGCAGCGCGACCAGCGCGAGCTCTCCGACCGCATTAAGGACCTCGACCGCCACATGTCGCAGCTCTCATCCGACGTGTCCACGCATAAGCAGTACCGCGCAAACATCGAGGCAAACCTGCGGCACAGGGAGAAGGAGGAGGAGATGCAACGCGTCAAGGCAGAGACTGACGCCCTGCGCCAGGAAATGACAGGTGGTCATCGTGCGCATGTGTGTGCGTTGTGTGTGTGTGTGTGTGTGTGTGTGTGTGTGTGTGTGTGTGTGTGTGTGTGTGTGTGTGTGTGTGCGTTGTGTTTATGTGTGTGCGTGTCGAATTGAGTGTGGTGATGAAGTCTCAACCGCTGCTGCCACCACCCTCTCACCGTAGCCGTGTTTTGTCTCCAACGCAACAGAGCAAGACGAGGATGAGGGTGACCTTGGTGATCGTAGCGAGCTGGAGGAAGAACGAGACAGACTCTTGCAGCTCAAGCACACACTCACCGGCCGCCGCAGCGAACTCCTCAACAAGCTCCAGGTGCGTATGCATGTGTGTGTATGTATGTGTGTATCTGTATGTGAACACAATGTGAGTCAACGCACACATGTCTTCGCGGGATCACCTGTGCTTGGCTGACCCCACATAAGCATGTGCATGTGAATGTAGGTGGACGAAGAAGATTTGGGCAAGCCGCATCTGAAGAACGTGGATGCAGAGTTTCAGCGAAAGAGTATTGAATGCCAGGCAACGAAACAGCTGCAGGAGGATCTGAACAAGTACTACTCGGCCCTCGACAAGTGAGTAGGAGTTGCCTTGCAGCTCCTTGTCGCTGTTGTCATGGCTGCTGTCATCGTTTGCCTGATAACACCACGGACACTGTGGCCACGCCTTTGTGTTGAACAGCGCTCGCCTTTGTGGTTTGGTGGATCACTGGCGTGTTCGCTCACCGTCACCTGCGTACGATGCACGTGTGGCATTGCTTCGTGTTGATTTCTGCCTGTAGCGCGATTGTCAAGTTCCATGCGTTGAAGATGGAGTCCATCAACCGCATCATCAAGGAGATCTGGCAGAAGACGTACCAAGGCAACGGTACGCGTGGGCGTGGCGTGGGCGTGGGGGAGTGGGGGCGGCGCGTGTGTATATATGCATGTGTGCATGTGTGCATGTGTGCGGGAGGGGGTGTCTTTGCATCCACACACACACACACACTCTCTCTCTCTCTCCAATGTCTCACATGCAACCACTCCTTGATGTGTTTGCTTGAACTTCATCCCCATCTCCTCAGACATTGACTATGTGGAGATTGTGTCTGATGTGGAGAAGAAGAAGGAGACGACGCGTGGGAAGAGCTACCAGTACCGCGTGGTGATGGTGAAGGGCGACACGCGCCTCGACATGCGCGGCAGATGCAGCGCAGGACAAAAGGTAGCCAGACACTCAAGGAGGGGGGGGGGGTTACACACACACTCATTCTCGCACATACATGTACGCATACACTCATTCACACACACACACGTGCACGCACACACGTGCACACTCCCGTGCATGCCCGTCTCCTTGCAGGTGATGGCGTCGATCATCATCCGGCTGGCATTGGCCGACTGCTTCTGCGCCAACTGCGGTGTGCTGACGCTCGACGAGCCCACCACTAACCTCGACTACGAGAACAAGGAGGCCCTCGCCAAGTGTCTTGCAGAGTACGTGCGTGTGGTGCTGGCTTATTTTGCTCGATGTGTGCAAGCCGATGAATGGAGTGATGGGGCAATGACGTTTATTCGACTTCCAACTATTCACGTGTGCATGTATGTGAGCTCATACCTTCGCTTACCCACACACTACAACACACACACACACACTCTCTCTCTCTCTCTCACTCACTCACACACACACACACGCACACACACACTCACGTATGAACACGATCACTCACGCATACGCTCGCACTGGCACAGCATTGTGAATGACCGCAAGGTGAAGCAGCCCAACTTCCAGCTGCTGCTCATCACTCACGACGAGAAGTTCCTGGAGTTGCTGCATCGCTTCTCGCTCGGCCGCATCTATTACCGCGTCTCAAAGGACGAAAGGTGCGCGCGTGTGAGTCGGGGGTCGTGCGGATGTCACACGAGCACTGCATCCGCACTTTGCGTGTTGGCTGCTTCTGCTGCTGCTGCTGCCTGATCCTCCTCCTCCTCCTCCTCATCATCCCCCCCCCCCTCATATTGCGTGCACCCCTCTCACAATCTTCTTTGTTGTGTTTGCGCCACCGCAACAGGGGACATTCGGTGATCCGCCAAGTGTCTGCGTAGTGGCAGCGAGCAAGAAGTCGGGGTCTGGGTGTCCGAGATGCACGGGTCATGGGCCAGGTGCCGCGCGCATGTTGCTAGCGGCAAACTGCACCACCACCCCCCCCCCCCTTGTTGTTGCTCTTGGTGCCGTGTCTGTTGCTGTCGTGTGTTCTGGCTTAGTTCTGCCGGCATTCATTAAACGAATCCATAATGAAGCGTGAGGGTTCTTTGCTTGCTTGCTTGGAACGTGGTTGGCGTTGACAGCAGTCACGAGGTCAACTTGCTTCTTCTGCTTGGTCTGGTTAGGAGCGTTCCATGTTCTTGAGAGTGGTCAGGTCATCCCGTGCGGAGGAGAGGTCTTTGTCACGGATGACGCGGCGCGCCAGGATTCGCGTTTGGATCGAGTCCTCCAAATGCTGGGACACCGCTTGCTGCATCCACTGTGAAGTGGTCCACAAGCCAAACCAAACGCGGAACGGAACAACGTGAGCGAGTGCATACGATGCACTTGGGCATGGTGGCACTGTCTCAGAACAACAGCAACCAGCCAACACGCATACTCGACGCAGAGAGCGCAAAGCAGAGAGCGAGATAGAGAGAGAGAGAGAGCGCGCACACGAAATAGAGAACGCGCGCGAAACAGAGAGCGGGAGAGTGCGGGGGAGATACACGTATCACATCACCCACCCACCCACGCACACACACACACACACACACACACACACACACACACACACACACACACACACACACACACACACACACACACACACATACAGTGGGCATTGCATTGCGGAGCTGTGGGTCGATGGCGCCGCGTGGATCAAGGCTGTTGACACGGGCCTTCTGGCGGATGGAGAGCATGACACCAAACAGCAACACGGTGATGCCAGCCGCCACCAGCAGCACAAAGATCTCCTCAACCGCAACCACAGCCATTGCCCTCGTCGAAAAGTGGCCCAAAACATCCACCACTCTTCACAACTCGAAGAGGGGAAGCACGAGAAGGTGCTGTGTGTGTGTGTGGGGGGGGGGGGGGGCTGTTGGTGTGTGTGTTGATGATTCGCACGGCGTGGTTAGATCGAGAACACCGACAACCCTCTCTACTTAGCTAGGAAGGACGATCATGGAAAGAAAACGAGCCAAGAGGGAAGGTGGTGCTGACAATGGTGGCGCCGACAGTGGTGGTGCTGACAGCCACAGCCGAGGACGGGCAGTGGCTGAGGTGAAGCTTGATGGTGCAGGTTGCAGTGGTGGTGGCGATGGTTCTCTGTGGGCCCAGTGCGGCCATGGGCAGGCGAAGGAGCCAGTGGTGTTTCGCGGCGCTGCAGTTCATTGGCCCTCAGCATTTTGGTCGCCCACGCTACTAGCCACACACCAGGTCATGATATGCACCAACACAGGGTCTACACATGTGATGATCGGTCATGCCTGTGTGCTTGGCTGATTGGCACACACACTCATACTCACAGGCAAGTGCACTTACACACACACACACACTCACACACACAGGCAAGTGCACACACACGCACACACACACACACTTACACACCTACACACACACAGACACGTACGCACGCACACGCACTCACACGCATGCATTGGCAGGCGTTTGGCAGGTGCAACGTAAAGGCGCTGTTCCACAGGGCGAACGAGCGGCCTGCTTCGGAAGCAGACTGCATCACCAGAGAGACCACGCTGAAACAGTTTGCGCAGTGGATACTGCAGGGTGACCGCAGCACACCACCACCTCCTCCTCCAGCACGAGACGTTGATGCCGCTTGTCGTGGTGGGCGTGTTGCTGATGCTGTCAAGTCGGAGCCAGAGCCGAGCGAAAGTGACAGCAAGCACAAGAGTACCGATGGCCACAACAACAGCAGCAACGATACTGGCGATGATGATGATGATGATGATGATGATGATGATGATGATGATGGTGGTGGTGGTGGTGGTGGTGGTGGTGGTGGTTGTGGTCATCTTGGTGGAGAGGAAGTTGAGTGCTCAGGATCAAGTCCTCACGCAACCAGTGCCACGGTGACCAGGATATCATCTCGGACCTCGGATGTGATGGTGGGATATGTTTCATATCAGTATGTGTCGCATGCCTTTGCCAGTGCGCCTCGCAAGCTGAGGGACACCTCCTTCCCGTGGCAAACCCTCGGTGTAAGTGCAGAGTGTGCGAACCTCGACAACGCCGCCTTCTGGTTTGGGACGGAGGGTGCAGTCACGCGGTGCCACTACGACACGTACGGATGCAACCTTGCCGTACAACTCGACGGCACCAAGCGCTGGACGATGTTTCCACCGGGGGTGGCACGTGGCATGTATCCGACACGGCTGCCTTTTGAGGAGTCCACGGTGCGCAGCAGTGTTGATGTTGAGGCGCCAGATGCGAGCGCACACCCGGACTTTGTCGCCCTCGCAGCGCACGCGGCACAGTGGGTGGAGCTGGGGCCTGGCGATGTGCTGTTCGTGCCGCACGGCTGGTGGCACCATGTGCGATGCACCTCCACCGCCATCTCCACCAACCTCTGGATATCCCACCCTGCAGACAAGCGCGCACTTCTCTCCGAAGCCATGGTGTGTGTGTGTGTGTGTGTGTGTGTGCATATGTGTGTTAGTGTGTGTGTGTGTGTGTGCGGACGTTGTGATGCTTCGCCGCATGCGCTTGGGTGGTTGCAGAGCTGCTGCTGAGGGTGTTCGTCGACACCCCTTGCGCATGTGCTGTCTCTTCGGCGTTGTTATTGCTCCTTTGCTTTCCTCCTTGTCCAAGCTTACAGTGCGCAAACTCGCGCGCTTAATTGTTTTGCCTTCGCCCACAGACACAGTACGTTGTGGCATGTGTAAGTGAGCAGCAGCCGACGTGGTTCTGTCCGACCCAGGTCTGTTTGTTGTGTGCCTCGCTGCATTCCTTTGACGTGTGTGCGTGTGCGTGTGTATGCGCATGCATGCGTGTAAGTGTATGGATGGCCAGTGTTGTGCACGTACGCTGCTTTGCTGCGAGTGATGACCGTGTGTGTGTGTGTGTGTGTGTGTGTGTGTGTGTGTGTGTGTGTGTGTGTGTGTGTGTGTGTGTGTGTGTGTGTGTGTGTGTGTGTGTGCTTTGTATGTGGCTGTCGTTGCAGAGTCCAGTGACGCCCTCGCAGGCGCTTGCACTCCTGGGCGCTGCTCTCGATGCAAACGGTGTTCACCTACAGCATGACAGAGATAGTGGCGATATAACTGAAGCGCTTCTCCGACGACGCATCGCTGAGGCGCTCATCAACCCATCAGGTGCAGTGTGCATAACTCTGTGTGTGTGTGTGTTTGCTGTGCTGTTTGCTGTGCTGTTGGCTGTGCTGTTGGCTGCGCTTTGTCGCTTGGTTGCGTGCAGCACGTTTTTTTTTTCAAGCTCACACATGCACACACGCACACACGCACACACGCACACAACAACAACAACACACACGCATCCGCATCCGCACACGCACACACACAACGACACACGCACACACGCACACACAACAACAACACACACGCATCCGCATCCGCACACACAACACGCAGTCATCCAAGATGTGGTTGATGGGGTTTTGCGGTGACATAAATAAATTTCGAATAACTGCCAACGAGGAGTGAGATGAAGCTGGTGGTGCGGTATGTGGTGGCTGGGTTGACTGCGGTGTTGGCTGCGCTCGTGCTTGTTGGCCTCGCGTCCACGAGCTGGTGGGCGAGTGTGATCCACGGACGGGCGCCCGCACTGAAGGTGCTGCCACCGATCGAGCATAGTGCTGTGTTTACGTGCGCCCAAGGGTTCTACATAAACCCACATGATGGCCAGTGCCGCCCGTGTCCACGTGGTACATTCACGTCCCCACCCAGCATCGTGGAATGCGTTCCGCTGCTCACGTGCGACGAGATTAGCCGCGACATCGGCAGCCTCGCCAAGTTTAGCACAGGTGGCGTCAAAACCTTGTTCAGGTACGAAGGAGGGAGTGGGTGATGTTGATGGTGCTGACAATGTGGATTGTGGCGGGACAGGGGAAAGAGGAGGAAACCCGTGTCTGTATCTGTGTACAAGTGTAAATTCGTCTGAATGCGGGGCGTTAGGGTCGTGCCCATTCAAGTGGATGAGTGCATGAGATGTGCGCGGTGGCACGACGGGAGCCTGTACTCTTTTTCTGTGCTGTGTTTCAGGCCTGTTTACCCGCACAGCTGCTTGCGGTACACCCGTCGTCCATCTCTGGATTTGCTTGCAAGCACAGGGGGAGATGGAAGGGCCCGCATGTGCACGCCATTGATGTGTTGGTCGCGCGTCCACACCCTGGATTGGTGGATGATTTTAAAATGGGCAAGGACAACTTGGACGCCATTGGTCCACATCCACTCATCATTCGTCCCATCGGCCACTGCAACGATCCGCCAATGCTGGTGTTTCCGGTGCGTTCCTTCCGCTTGCCTGCATGCAATTTTGTTTCAGCTTGTTATCATGCGACATCATCTGGGCGTCTTGTGCTTGCAAGCAAGCAAGCACTGCCGTTGGCCACCGGCCTGTGCCGCTTCTCACGATTCACCCATCCTTGGACTCACAATCATCAACTCATCAAACAACCCAACAACGCATCAAACAACCCAACAACGCATCAAACAACCCAACCACCCATGCAAACGACTCTGCCGATTCAACCCTCCAACAAACCGTCCATCAATACATTTGTTCATTCATGCTGCAACATCACACACGTCTCGCTCATTGCAGCTGTACCGGCTCGGGTCTGCCCTGAATGTCAATGCTGTTGCGGCACAAGTGGAGGACGCGCTTGAGCTTCGGCTCCAACTCGTCGAGGTACGTGCACGCTGCAGCGTTGTAGCTTGCGTGACTGACTGCTGAAAGACTGTGATTTGATGTGAATGCACGCGTGTGGGCCGCTCTTCCGAAACCAAAGCGCGCGACATGACCTCCAGCTGACTGTCGCCTCAAGGCCCCAGCCAGCTCACAATATGCTTTGGTCGTTTCGTCTTGTTCGCACAGGACTACGCGTCGATACTGGTCCACTTGCATCATCAAGCGAGCAGCAATGGTGCATTTGTCATGTGCGATGCCGACAGCGTCGGGAAGCTGCTTTCTCAGTTTCTCATCTCTGACGACTATCGCCTCATCCTCAACGACGTGGACGCCCTTCCACTCGCAACCCCAACCCACAAGATCAAGTGCGGGCATCGAGAACTCTCGGGCGACTTTGTCGGTGCGTAAACACGAGGCAGGGACGGAGAAAGCGAGCGAGCGAGCGAGCGAGAGAGAGAGAGAGAGAGAGAGAGAGAGAGAGAGAGAGAGAGAGAGAGAGAGAGAGAGAGAGAGAGAGAGAGAGAGAGAGAGAGAGAGAGAGAGAGAGAGAGAGAGAGAGAGAGAGAGAGAGAGAGAGAGAGAGAGAGTGTGTGTGTGTGTGTGTGTGTGTGTGTGTGTGTGTGTGTGTGTGTGTGTGTGTGTGTGTGTGTGTGTGTGTGTGTGTGTGTGCGTGTGTGTGTGTGTGTGTGTGTGTGCTTGCTCTGGATTTTCGACAATACGCGCGTGCGGGCGTTCTGACCTGGTGCACCGACGTGTCGGTGCTTTGTTCGGAGGCCTGTACCACCGGAGGTTGCACTTTTCGTCATTGCTGTTGGCAAATCATTCCATCCTCTGCAAAGAAGCGTTGTTGACACATGTGAGAAGGTATCACAACCCAGGTAGAGTTGAGTTGGCACACACATTCACATTTACACGCACACACATTTACGCGCACACACACACACACATGCCCACAACCTGAGGTTGTCTCGGTCTGCTTGTGTAAGGGCGTCCAACTTCAAGCCTGCCACCGTGGAAGCCAAGGACGTCGGTGGCGGTGCTGTCCCCGTCGTCGTCGTCGTCGTCACCCTTGTTGTTGTTGGCGGTGGTGGTGCAGCAGCAGTCCTCGGCGCGTCCGTCATCGTCCTCCCTGTTGTTGTGGCGTTGCTGGTGTCTGGTCAGGAATGAATGACGGTGCTATCTGAACATTTCTGTATGTCGTGTGTCGCACCTCCATATGACTCACCCTTTGCTTGAGGATGGCAGTGGCGTGGGTGCAGAGGCGTGTGGTGGCGGCACTGCTTGTGCTTGTGGCTGTGCAGGTGTTTGCTGGTGGAGGAGGAGGAGGAAGAGGAGGGGTGAGCGCGTTCCGGCTGTGGCCAAAGAAGCGCACGCGCAAGGACACAGAGGGTGCTGGGAATGATGACACGCAGCAGCTTCTGATGGGAGGCGCAGATTACATGGACGGGCAGATCATCCCCTCCAGCGCGGTTGCCGCCGTCAATGCATACGCCTCCAGCAGTGTCTCGGCCAGAGAATGCTTCTCCGGCAAGCTGCCCTCCGGTATGTACTACTTTGGCGCGGCCGTGTACAACTCTGAGTTGATCATTGGCGGCGGGTTCACGCCTACGGAGAAGCTGTCGTTCAGCGACGACGACAGCCCCATGCTGAGCATGAACGCCGTCAACCACACGTTCAAGTGGACTGGCAGCTCGTGGAAAGTCTGGAACCAGTTCAACGTGACAAAGGGCGAAGCTCACCTTGCCGTCCTCAATGGGGAGCTGTACTCGCTCGGGTCATGCGGAAGACAAACACGCATGTGCCTGGAGAAGTACAACAGCAGCAAGGCCAATGAAGGCTGGCACCTCACCAAGAACCAACTCCCATCCGTCCTCAGCTTTCCAGGGTGTGTGTGTGTGTGTGTGTGTGTGTGTGTGTGTGTGTGTGTGTGTGTGTGTGTGTGTGTGTGTGTGTGTGTGTGTGTGTGTGTGTGTGTGTGTGCGTGCGTGTTTAAGTGTGTGTGTGTGTTTGTGCGTGTTTGCGCGTGTTCTTATGTTATGCTGTGTGTGTGTGTTTACGCCTGTGCATGTGCGTGCGTGCGAGTGTGTGTGTGCGTGCGTGGGTGTGTTTTATGTCATGTTGTGTGTGTTTACGCCTGGGCATGTGTGCGTGTGTGTGCGTGCATGTGCGTGTGTGTGCGTGTGTGCTCATGCAGTAGTGTGCCTTCTCGGGCTTTGCTCAGACACTCTCCTCACTGTGCGCCCCCCCCTTTGTTTCGAAACCCACACGCACACGCACATACACACGCACATACACGCGCACACACATACGTACGCACACACTCACACACTCTCCCTTCTTTGGTCTTCTCCTTCTCCCCTCCTCCTCCTAGAGTGATTGCGGACGAGAAAGACAGCTCGCTGTTCGTCGTTGGAGGCGTGCAAAACAAGCACACGACTCGCGTGGTGGCGCAGTACAGCGCATCCACCGACAAGTGGTTTGCGCTCCCGCCCATGAACATTGCACGCAAGTCGCCCGCCGTGGCCATCTTGGGCAACCGGCTGTGCGCTGTTGGTGGCGTTCAGAGCACGCTGCAGTACTCCTCCCGCACCCTGTATATGGCCCTGCGCTCCGCAGAGTGCATGTTCCTGAGCGCGCCCAGCGCCGGCTGGAGTCTGCTGCCGCTGCTGCCGGAAGCGCGTGGGTCTGCAACGGCGTTTGTGGCCTCCAACAAGCTGTACGTTGCTGGCGGCGTGCACGTGCCGCTGCACTGGCTCAGCAACCGCAAGGAGGATGATGACCTCCAGGCCACGGTCCTGGAAGTTGAGCGCAGGCCATATGTGAGCAAGCTCGACAGCCTTGACACGGCCTCCAGCTGGACCAACGCCTCTGATTCGTCCCGCCTCTTCATCTCCTCCTCCACCCTTGTTACCGTGCCCACCAAGCTCTACAGCCAGCTCTGCACATGAGCCTGCGTGTTTGTGTGTGAAGCGCCAGTAGTAGCAGGTATTGTGGCTTGCTGTTGTGTGCTTTGGTTTTTGCTCTCTTTGTTTGTGTGGCTACCAACGTTTCCAAGTGGCGCCTTTGACACCCCCCCCCCCCAAGCAATAGTACATGCTCACCAAAACAGCTCGTCTGTGTGACGTGAGGGAGAGGTGAGATAGGGCAGCGACAACACACACACACACACACACACACACACACACACACACACACACACACACACACACACACACACACACACACACACACACACACACACACACACACACACACACACACACACACACGCACGCACGCACGCACGCACACACACACACACACACACACACACACGCACGCACGCACACACACACAACACGCAAACCAATTAATTCGTTGCGTGACATTATTCGTTGAGAGACCGCGACAACAACAAACACGCAAACAGTCAACAGCACACAACAACGACGACTGCTGCTTCGACCTGTCACAGCCCACACACGAGTGGAGTGGGAGTGAAAGGGCCGAGCGCTGGGTGGCTGGGTGGCTGGTTGGTTGAGCCATTACTTGTAACTGGTTGTGCGCCACTATTTGGTTGAGCGAACACAAGGAACAAACACGGCACAATGGCGACCAACGATCTGGACAGGTGCGTGCGCTGTAGGTGGCGCGGAGATGGTGATCGAGTGAGGGAGGTTGTGCGTGCACGGTGCATGCGTGCGTGCGTGTGTATGTGCGGATACGTGCATGGGTGAGTGTGGGTGTACTTGCATGGGCTCATTCCTGAACGGAGTGTGGGTGCTTTGAGCCGTAGCGACTGCTGTGTCGATGCCGTTTGAGCGGTCTTGACCCACAACGTGTTCTTGGTGTGGTGCTGGCGTGCGCAGGCAAATCGCCAAGCTCGAGAAGCGGGAGCTGATCACAGAGGACGAGGTCAAGTCGTTGTGCGAGCGAGCAAAGGCGCTACTGCAGGATGAAGGCAACGTGTGCTACGTCAGCGCACCTGTCACGGTGCGTTTCGTGTGTGTGTGTATGTGTGTTTGTGTGTGTGTGTGTGTGTGTGTGTGTTCATGTGCGTTTGTGTGTGCGTGTGCGTGCGTGCTTCAGCGTGTGTGCGTTGCACTGTTGTGGTTCATCGAGTCGTGCTCCTTGTGTGTCGATGGACGAACGCTGTTGCTGGCA